TTTCAAGAACGTATTGTCATCGTCTGCTGTGTCCATTGAGTGCGCCTTCTTGGCAGCTTCAAGGGTGGCAAGGATACTGGTGGGAGTGATATCGATATCGAGGTCGAACGGATCGAAGACAAACTCGGTGTCAAGACTGTAAATGAGAAGTCCTTCCGTCGAAGCTGCACAGAATGCGCGCCCGGTTGGGGAGAAGTCGACAGCAGTGACACGCACTTCGGGCCGAGTCTTACGTGTCCCAGCATCGCCGCGCTTCGCGCCGGGAAGGCTACGGTCAATGCGATCTTCAAGATCCGAGGCTTCGCCTGTCTCGTCAATGAGACCTCGAGGGCCAGCCTCTGTCAAATCACGACTGTTCAAGAATTCCTGGGTGCCGTCTAGAGAAGTGTTGACACTGACTGTATATTTCTTGAGCAGTGCGCCCGATCTCACATCATACAGGCAAATGTGCTTGCTGTTGCCTCCAGCTAGGATACAAGAGCCGTCAGCGCTGTATGTGATGCAATTGAAAGATTTTGTTGCTGCCGAGTTCGCGGCAGTCACACGATCGCCCATTTTGCGGCCACCGGACACATCGCGACGACCATCGATTCCTCCTTCCTGGACTGCGTTCTCCACTGACCAGAAGGTCAACTGACCGTCGAGGGTAGACGCGGCAACCTGCTTCCCGTCAGGTCGGAATGCCACATTCAGAATATCTGACATGAGCTGCAAAGGTTCGCTAGTCTGCGTCCTTCCGAAAATGCTCCATACTCGGACAGTACGGTCCCAGCTACCGCTAACTAGATGGTTCCCGTCCGCGGCGAACGCGAGTGACGATACGGGTCCTTCGTGACCGGACAGCTGGTCAAGGAGTTGTCCTGTCTGTACCGACCACACATGGATATCGAAAGAATCTGGGGACCCGGCGCAAATGACCTCACCACTTGGGTCGACGGCGAGAGAGGTGAAAGACGTACGGGATGGCGCAGTGAAGGTTCGGAAGTTGCGATAACGAATAAGATCCCATGCCCTCACTGAGCCATCCAGAGATGCGGTAAATAAAACACTTCCTTTCTTGGCGAATTGGCACGCAGTGACTCCGCTCGAATGCTCGGTGAACGTGACAATGCAAAAGCCGGACTTGACATCCCAGACCTTTACTTTTCCATCATCCGCGGCAGTGACAATCTTTTGCCCATCTGGGGAGTAGGCAAGAGCGTTCATGGAGTCCAAGTGACCCTGCTGCTTCAAGATATAGGACTCCGATTGCCATTCCCACACGAGCAATTGACCATGCTTCGACGAGCCAAAGGCCAACCACTCACCGGATTTATTGACTGTCACGAAGTCGATGTTACTCTGAGAGACACTAAGACTAGTCAGCATCGCAGCCCACTATCAAATAAGAAGAGTCATACCTCAATTGATGAATCGGGTTGAAGTCCGGCAGGTCGTACAGGCCGAAAAGGCCGTTGGAGAAACCTACAACCAAGAGATTCGAAGGGGCGTGAAATGTAGCACAGTTGACCTTGGCATCGTTTTGCATGAAGTAGTCCTTTTTGACAATCCGCCAACGAGATTCGGCAATATCTTCCATCGTATCCGGATCTTTCTTAGTCACGTACTCCCACCTGAAAAGAGCTCCATCGGAACTGATCGTGTAGATCTTGGATGGTGTCAGCAAGGGAATCCCGTAAATATTTCGGTTCGACTCACGGATTCTTGATCCGCTGTGAAATAGGCTGCCTTGACGCCTTGACGATGTCCAGCCAGTGTGGTGGGTTCGAAGCCTTCTTCCGGATCTAAACTCCATATCCGTGCTGTGAGGTCTTTGGATGCGGTAAGGAGGAAGCGTGAGTCACTGGACCATTCAATATTCTGGATGACATCGAAATGAGCGGCAAGGTCTCGGTGCAGAACAAAGGGTGCGAATTCGATCTCTCCGTTATTATCGGTACCGGGTGTCGAAGGTGTGTGCCAGATCTGCAACCGTCTTCCCACTCCGACAGCGAAATGACGACCCGTTGCCGAGAATTTGAGTGCAGTGACTCGACCTTTAAAGGAGAAATGATGGATTACGATTCTGCGAACGAAATTCGTCAAGATAGCCCGGCCATTCTCGTCAACAGAGAGCAGAAGGTTGCCGCGGGGCGAAAGATCTAAACGATCGATATTGGTGCGATGCGAGAATGGAAGTGTGTATGATGTGTTCCTTCAGCACGATCATCCAGTCAGCTCGAAAATCCGCCGAGTATTTCGCAGCAAGGAAGAGACCCAACATACTGGACAAGGTCGAAAACTGTGACCCTATTGCCTACAGGGGAAAGCAAGCAGTTTCCATCGGGCGTGAAGAGAAGATTTCCTTTGCGGTATACCGTCCCCAGAAGGTTGGAGAACTGCGCTTGAGTCAGAGTTGCGGTCGCAAGGAGGTCAAGATTTAAACTCACCTTAAAATCTGTCTTCATTGTCTCTGATAAGCGTGCGTAGCTTCTCAGTCTTCACCTGGAACCGATCTTCAAAAAAATCGTCTTCCTAAACGGGCGATAAGAGAGCTGATCATTTGTTAATCCGAGTCCGAAGACACTTGCGCTAATTAGTACTAGCGCTATCTGGGGCCCAGAGTCACGTGTAACGTTTGCTTGTTTGCTTGTGTTTGCTTCTCCACCGGGGTCTGCGATTCAGGGGCAGCAGCAGCCGATTCCAAACAATACCAGACCAAACCATACCAGTTCTACTACTATTGAGACAGGAGAGAGACTGTTCCTTCCGACGGCTTTCTTCTTCGTTCTTTAGGTCATCATAATCAATTGACTTCTGATTCGGAGTAGTTGTTGTCAACTTTAATCAATCAGTTGTCTTCTCGCCTGTCTTGAATTCACCTCCATCTACCTACCCCCTTTACCATCATCATCATGGCCACGACTTCGGAAACTGCTTCCCCTATTGGCATTGCCAACGTAAGTGCTGGAACAACACTTGGGGGATGAATTTGAAAGGAAGAAGAAATTTTAACTAGTTCTCTATCTCAACAGCTTCCTAATCAGCGGTGTGTACCAACTGTCACGCAGCTCCCATCAGCCGAAGAATGAAAGCGTGGATAAGTCTAACTGAAGCTATACAGACACAAGATTGTCGCTAAGCGGGGTGCGGCTTTCACTATCATGGTCTGTCTCGAGCCAGCCAGCCAAGATGAAGCTGTATGCTGATGCCGGAGTATAGGTTGCTGGAGAATCGGGATTGGGAAAGACCACGTTTATCAACACCCTGTTTTCGACCACCATCAAGAACTATGCCGATCACAAGCGTCGCCATCAGAAGCAGATCGACCGGACGGTTGAGATCGAGATTACCAAGGCAGAGCTGGAGGAGAAGTTCTTCAAAGGTTAATTTTCAATTTCCTCATCCTCGCGAATGGTCACTAATGCAACGATGCGGCCATGTACAGTCCGTCTGACCGTCATTGATACCCCCGGATTCGGCGACTATGTGAACAACCGTGACTCCTGGCAACCTATTATTGAATTCCTCGATGACCAGCACGAATCGTACATGCTTCAGGAGCAGCAACCCCGCCGCACAGACAAGATCGATATGCGTGTTCACGCCTGCTTGTACTTCATCAGACCCACGGGCCACACCCTGAAGCCCCTTGACATTGAGGTCATGAAGCGGTTGAGCTCTCGAGTCAACCTTATTCCCGTTATTGCCAAGGCCGACACTCTTAGCCCTACTGATCTTGCCCGTTTCAAGCAGAGGGTGAGACCTCCGGATGAATGGCCTCCGTTATCGGTAGTTACTGACTAGTCCAACCTATTTTAGGTCCAAGCTGTCGTCGAAGCTCAAGGCATCAAGATCTATACCCCTCCTATCGAAGAGGACGACGAGCACGCTGCCGCCCACGCTCGCAGTCTGATGGCTGCTATGCCCTTCGCTGTGATTGGATCCGAGAAAGATGTGAAGACCAACGACAACCGGGTAGTAAAGGGTCGTCAATATGCTTGGGGTGTTGCTGAAGTCGAGAACGAGGACCACTGTGACTTCAAGAAGCTGCGTTCTATCTTGATCCGCACTCACATGCTTGATCTCATCCATACCACCGAGGAGCAGCACTACGAAGCCTACCGCGCACAGCAGATGGAAACAAGAAAGTTCGGCGAGGCCAGACCGAGGAAGCTGGACAATCCCAAGTTCAAGGAAGAGGAGGAGGCTCTGCGGAAGCGTTTCACCGAGCAGGTCAAGATTGAGGAACAGCGATTCCGCCAGTGGGAGCAGAAGCTCATTTCCGAGAGAGACCGCCTCAACAAGGACCTGGAGTCCACCCACGCTGCGTATGTGCACACAATTCTTCCTTTTTGAATGAGTATGAAGACAGTACTGATTGAAAACAGGATCAAAGCGCTCGAGCAAGAAATCGAGGCGCTGCAGGGCTCGACTACCCGGAGCCACGGACGCCGTTAAAATACTATCGGGCAGCTTGGATACGGCGACGAAATTTGAGCACGCGGTGGAAAAAGGAAAACTGCTTCGATTTGATTAATATTGTCTATTCTTGATTACCCCTCGAGTTTTCTTTCGGCCTTTTTCTTTCTCACGCATTCGGGGGACAAACATATCTGATCTAGGCCGTTTGATGCGCTATCTTCTATTGCGCAGTTATTATGCTGTATTATTTCTTTTGCCGCTGGTAGCTAGCGATGATCTCGTTACATCCTTGATAATAACCCATTTGTATTCAGTAGCGTGTCAATACAGAATTAATCTTTGTCCATTATTCGTTTATACCTTAGAGCCAATATGTGGATTAAATGATTCAGGAAGCTTTGTCTGGTGGGGCCCATCCTTCAAGCATGAGCGGGTCGGTTTTCAAGTGGCATAGCTCTCTCTGCGGCGGAAATAATAAAGCATCATCTCCGCAATTCTTACTTCCAAGATCGAGAATCTACAGCATCATCACCTAGAATCTAACTTTCTTGCTGTCCTTCGTTTCTAATTCACGCGGCCAACTCTGACAGCCATCAATGCCGGCAACAAAACAATTTCCCACAAAGCTTGTCCATACTCTCAAAACGCACAATGGTAAGCTTCTGCTCCACCTCTACCCACGCTCCTCATCTACTCTAATCAGTTTTAGGACCGGTAAATGCTGTGATTTTCTCGAGCTCTCCAGGTACTTATGTCCTCACCGGTTCCGCTGATCGCGCCGTTCACCTCTCGCGCGCCATCCCGAGCAACAGCTCTGCTACTGGTCTTGAGACAGCCTCCCCAATCCAAAAGTATGAGGCGCACGGGTACTCAGTCCTAGACGTGGCTGTCGCAGCGGACAATGCGCGGTTTACAAGCGTCGGCGGAGACCGCCAGGTATTCTTGTGGGACGTCGAACAAGGATTGACTACACGGCGATGGGCCGGACATAACGCCAGGGTCGAGGCCGTACAGTTCGCTGGCGAGGGTGATTCCGTGGTGGTATCCGGTGAGTATTGCTGTAGTAGAATCATCCGCGATTCTGACCTTTCTCTCAGGAAGCGCAGACACAACCATCAACCTGTGGGACACCCGGTCCAAATCACACAAACCCATCCAGACCCTCACCGAGGCGGGCGATACCGTTTCCTCGCTACACGTACACATGCCGACGTATTCTATCGCAAGTGGAAGCTATGATGGTCGCGCTCGCATCTACGATGTCCGCATGGGTCGGACAACCGTGGACGTCCTTGCTCACCCCGTCACGAGCGTCCGGTGCTCTGCGGATGGCAATGCCCTGCTGGTTTCTACACTCGACAGCCGGATCCGGATGCTGGACCGGGCAGACGGTAAGCTGCTCAAGGCTTTTGGAGGCGAGGAGGGTCTCGAGCAAAGCACTGCCGGTGCGACGGCGATGTACCGCAATAGCGAACTTAGGATTCGGTCTGTCTTTGCCAAGGGAGACGCCGTCGTTCTCAGTGGCAGTGAGTTGGAGGAAGGTCATCGGTCGCCACAGGCTCATGTCTTTGCTTGGGATGTGCTCAGTGGAGAGATTATCGCGACTGTCCCGGCCGGGGATGGAGTGAAGGTTGTTAGCTGCGTAGCATGGAACGAGAAAGGAGGCTGCTGGGCTGGGGGCTGCTCCGATGGTATGTCGAAACATCTCAACCTTTGTGCGTGTATGTGTACTCTGCTAATAATGACCTTTTTGCAGGCACCGTCAAAATCTACGGCTGAGTGACAAGAGGCCTCTGGATCGTTGCGGCCAACCAGAAGCTCAAGAAGTTCCTTGTAACATCGACAGCAGCTTGACGACTTCGTGCCTCCCAGCGAGAACAACACGGGATTACCTTCCCTTCCCCGTATGCATTCAGAACAGAAAAAAAAAGTCTCTTACGGCCCGCAATCCGAATGCACACAGATTCGCTGAACCCATTCTCAAAAGCATCAGCTCCAGAGAAACTGGCCGGGCACCAAACAAACCAACAAGGCCGTCCGCAAGGTCAACCCACAATCCATCCCCGCCCACAGAAACGCCTAGAACTTCATGCAATTCGCAATCAGCCCTCAACTCAACGTTCACATTGCAAACGGAGCTACATGCTGTTGTCAACCTGGCCACCTGCTATTGGACTACTGGCCGCTGGCCCGTCCTCGCTGCATAGTGCATGCTGCATATCCGCATTGGCATGCTTCTTCTCGTCGCAGGGGTAACATCTCGTCGGATCACGGCTATTGATCCGCAAGTGTGGTCCGCTAGGTCTCGACCACGCGTCGTGCTGCTGCATACCTTGCAAATGAGCCAATAATGAGGTTGCATGGTGACGTGTCAGTCCCCAACGTCGGTCGAGTTTCGAGTTTCGGACCTTTTGCTTGTCTACTGCGAGATTCCAAACTGAACTTGGCGCGAAAGAAGCTAAGAAGTCAAGAATTCTGCACCTCGTGGCGATTGTTTGCTGAAGCCATCTGGCGCCATATCATACGTTACGAATCGAAGTGGATATGGTGATATCTGATATACTGCTCGCCTATTGGATGGCATTTATTCCATTTTATTATGCATTATGGATTACCTAGTAGGGCCTGAAGTCGGACACGGAAAGAACGAAATAATAGCCATCATCCATCTGCACATCCTTCATACAATGTCATCATTCCACTTGACGGTATTTCCTGAGTAGAGTTTTTTTCCCAGGCAAGATTGATATTATACAGTAACCGTGCATTCTGGTCCAAGAAAGATCCAACCAATATTGTGACCCCATCCGACTGGGGGAACATAGTTTTGACAAACTTTGATAATCACCAAAAGAGACCCTTTTTAGCCCAACGGTTCCCAAACGCCGATTCGTCGCTATTTTGCAGTTGATATGATCAAAATTCAACAGGTTGAGGATATACTTTTTCTTTTTTTTTTTTCTTTTTTAGTCATGTAGCTGTCGTAAGTTTTTAATTATCTTCTTCGCAGACCGTAGGCCACAAGAATGACTGGAGCCGGTGATCTTGATTTGAATGAAGCAAGGATTATACTTCGAGCACACCAGCCGGCAGTTCCGGTTCATGGCTTTCAGCCTCGAGCGCATCCATAGCTCGATGTAGTTCGTGTTCGCCGACAAGGATTGTCCCTGCACGTGCAGTGCTAAGGAAGCTGATTTCGACGGCCTCAAGAGATGGGTCGAGGTCCGGATGCAGATGATGGGTTGAAAGTGCCAGCGGATCGCCATTGCCATTGATAGGTGTTCGGGGCCCAGGACTCTGGCTAGGGGGTCTGACCGGTCCTCCAGAGTCCACACTGGACGAGAAGTAGCGGTTGATAGAACTTTCAAAGGATGAGGTACCATTGAAAGAGTGTGACAAAGCGATGGTCGACGCTTCGGTGCTCTCATCCCAGGAAGCATGTGTAGCGTCAGCCAATCGACTGGCAACCCCGCAAACAATACCAGTGGCCTCGAGAGGGAGTTTGCGCAGGTCCAACGTGATGGGGACAAGGATATCTTCCTTGGACCCCAGAAGCAGGCTTGTTTCATCAGTAGTCTCGGCAGATGAGGTAACATCATTCAAGAATCGAGGCAGGAGCCGCTGTTCCAACAAGAGAGACGCTGCAGGGTCGGCAGCCGTCAGAGTGAGTGAGAGGAAGCGTGGTCTGTCCACAACCAGTGCAGTCGTCAGTGCCGTGCGAAGGATCGATATTGAGCTAGCATCACTGCTGTATGGGTGATGGGCCGCACATTGCACCAAGCGAAGAGATCGATCAACGGACGGCACAATGTGGTTCTTCCGCAGGGAGGCAAAGGTTCGCCCCTGCAGTTCGTCAAGTGACGAGGGAGGAGGAGTTGCCGGCGGAGAACCCAGACTGCTCGCGGAACGAGATGAAATCGGGCTGCTATAGCTGCTGAACTGACTTTGATTATGATTTATGAAAGCCTCGGTGGTGATTTCGAACTGGAACCCTCGCTTCTCCAAAGCTTCAATGACCTGTGCTTTGCTGCGCAGAGGGACAATGATGTAGTCAGAAAAGTAGGTGGAGATAAAGAAGATAGAACTATAAAGGTGAAAGTCAGCAATCGTCATATTAACGGAAAAGGGTTCGGGATGTTCATACATTCCTGCCATCGCTAGAGGACTCGTCAACTCAAGCACGCGTTGGCCAGCTTCCAGACCTTCGCCGTACACCTGCATGGCTATGAAATCATCCTGACTGATGGACAGGCGGCTATGGCTAGAGGCATGATCTTGGACGAACTTATCGACCATGGGGGCGAAATACTTGTTGGCAAGCTGCCTGGGACACATGATGGAGCATTCTACCGGGGTGATAGAGAAATTCAAGAAAGCCGGTTGCGCATGCTTGAGGCCCTCTTTGGAGCCGTTCTTCAGGACCTCCACATGACTCTGGTCCACGGGGGGTACCTCGTGGAAGAGGACCTGTAGGATCGGAGTCAAGAAATACGGGTAGAGATCCAATGGTATGTGCACCAAAGCCAGTCGGTCGTCCTGTGCCTCGATAGTTGTGGTTAGTAAAACAAGCCTTGCACGAGAATTGTCTATACGAATCAAAGTCCTTGACGGGGAGATGGATAGAGTGATTGCATGATGAGATGAAGCGAAAGAGGGAGCCGGTATAGAGAAGCAATATCATTCTAAGATGAAAAGCAAGATGGAGTCTTACCATAAATTGGACTTGAGCAGAGATGAGAGACAGCGAATGATCCATCATTGCTCTCGGTAAGATCACAAATGATACCTACACACTGTCTCTTGGGAATCAAAGCTCTGTCTTCCACAAGGCAAGATCCTCAAAGGAGAAGTGAGGCAATCTTAATGCGTGACCTTGGGGATGATTTGAAAGTATATATGTAGGGGAATCGAAATCGCAGGTACAGTCGAGAGAAGATCCAAGAGAGAGATGGCAGATGGGTATCGAAAGGCCAGTTTGAAGTGTCTCTGTGGAAAGCACAGTTGATGTTAGGATAATAGGCAACAATGTCACTGGGACGCGAATGATGAAAGAAGAGAGTATAAATATAGATCCGAGTAAACCCCAGACTCCAAGGAACAAAGCGCGGCAGACATCAATGGAGTACTCGTTTCTTTTTCCTCCTGTATTTCCTTGATGGCACAAAGCCCTGCGTCTTCATTGTTCTAGTCCGCTGAGTGGAGTTACGCCATTGTTCGGAGAAATGATAGTATCGAAGAACCGCCAGCACGCAAGAATGCCCCAAAGTTGACGATGTTATTTCAAATGGAGACTGGCAAACGATGCAAGATGGAATGCGAAGGAGATGGAATGTAGATTGTAAGGAAGAGACGAGGAAGAAAGAAATGGATGGATGATTGTATCTCCAGATGTCTTTTTTTTTCTGCGGTGACTCAAGGCTGCCTTCCTTTTTTGGACGAGGGTAACGTGCCTGAGGTTCTTCTGTTCGCTGCAACGTTAATTGATTCTCGCCACAATCTCTGCAAGTTGCGCACCGTACTCTGTACAGAATGTTGAATCTGGATCTCTGGTAATCGAGTCGAAGAGTCTGGGGAAGCAAAGGAGGAAAGCTGAGAAAAAAGCAAAGAAAGTCTTCTTCTTTTGTTCTGTGAAGCTCCACTCTCGAGTGTACTGGGGATAATAATACAGCAAAGCGTTATCCTAATGATCCTTTTATCCCCAGTTATAAACCTTTTTACGAAATCCCCTTTGCAACACGAATCTCCCCACTGACTGGTCGAAATTGTCTCTAAGTACGTAGTAGGCTTTATCTCCAGCTTTTCTGGCTCCACCAACTAACTGCTTATCAGCCATTTCCAGCCATGACCAGCAAATCTGCTTCGATCGCCACCCCGCGCTAGGCGCTGCTTCCGTTGTTAGAGTGGGGGAATTCCCGTCTATATAGAGGACAGTAGTAATAATAATAAGAGTAATGATAATCTAAATGATAATAACTAAATACTAAGAAATTATAAGGTCAGAAATATGCGTTATGACCCCCTCCCCGGCGCACGGATCGAGTCAATTGACTGGGAATGGTGAATGGCTGGTGTTCATCCGCTCCCCGCACTTTTTCCTCTCTGCTCAATGCTCCAGGGTTTGTTTGGTGTAGTGGCTAGTCAGGCACCACAGTTGCTTGCTTGCTATGAATCCATTTGCTGTTGCACACACACATATACAATCATCAATCAATCCTGCATAATGTGGCAAGGCAGTGAATGGGGCCAAAAGGAATACAGGCAAACTGCCTGTCCCCTCCATCACCATTGTCCAAAGTCAGAAGTTACTGTGATGACAAAAAGAGACTCGCAAGTACTCACTCCATTAGGGGACGCTATCCGTTTGGAGAAGCTCAGACAGCTCGCTCTGGGGAGATACTTTTGCTTAGCGAGACCAGCACCAAAAGGGTCACCGTGACACAGTCATTTGAACAAGGTGGAGTCAGCTCTCAAACTCATTTCGCTTAGATGCTCCTCTCTACTCTCTACTATCTACTAGATACAGGGTACTAAAGACCTCATCCACAAAAAGGCGATCAACAGCACTTACCACCATCAGCTACATCAACCCAAGTCGATCAGGAAATGATGCCATCATGATGGCGCCACTTTGATGCTTTAGAATGCATAAAAAAAATGCACGCCTGCAACCAGGATCCATCTGGCTGTGTACAGAACTCCTCACTCAAAATCGTCCTCTTGTCACACAAGTGACACAATCTACTAAAACCCTCAATGCGATGCAGCTGGAATGTCGTTCCTGATCCCCTCACTTTTGCGCCTGAAGCGCTCCAACCAGAATATCACTGTCTGCGTTTCATACAGTTTCATACTATTCGAGCTAACTGCAGGTTCGCACGGGCTTTCCGAGTCTGATGATCATTCGTCTCTAACCCTACGAACTGGTATCTTCATATCACTCGCATTAATCATACTTGGGTCTGGACGGCGGCTGTCCAATCACCCAACCCCGATGGGCGATCATCCGGTCCATCCCTGTTGCTGCCGAGGAGTGCCAGGTGGGCATTGCTGAGTCGCTCTGCAAGAATCAATCTGCCCTTTTCCATACCTATCTATCTATCTACCCATCTATCTTGCGAGTCAAGATAGGCATACCCGAACCAGGTTACACTTGACCATTCAATCAAATTGCTTTCTGCGATTATACCACCATTACTCCATCACTGCTCCAAACGTGGCGCCATCTATAGTGAGTTTCAGCTACCTCGGGAATAATGCAGCCGTGCAGATAGGGAAACGCGGCACCGTCACGGAGATAAGGAGATGGGTGTCGGGAAATTCTCTCCTTGGCTTCTCCTTTCGCAGGTCTACATCCATCTGCAAATTGGCGTAGATATGTCCATGCTCATACTTTCCAAACATGGAAGCGGATGTATCACGAGGTCTTTTGGGTCCGTTCTTCTGTATTTAGATTTAGAGTAGGAGTACCCATGCTTCGATCGCGTAGGATGCCTCTCTTTCGCCTTCTTGCTGCAACCAACCACAAAGTGATACAGACACCAAATGATAAACTGCCTTTGGAAGTAGATATGAGGTCCCATTTCATAGATACAACGCAACAACAAAGACCACAAACGCCCGCAATGCATGAACCCCCTCTCAGAAGAAGTGAAAGTGAGAGTACACGTGACATGATCCCTAGAAAAGGCGCAATGAGATGTACGGAAAAGGCAGATACGCTTTAATCATCGACTCTTGCGCGCTTCGATCCCCGATCCTCACGCTCGACTTCTTGGATCCCGTAGCGCTTCTGTCCGGCTCCACCGGTCACGTCGGCGATCATGCTGTCGATGCCAAAGGGGTCTGTTGTGTCTTTCTCAAATTGAACGGGGCCGTCACGGGCCTGGAGAAAAGCATAAAAGTCAGCTGAGTTGTTTGATTACATGGTAATGGTTCATGCAATAGACGTTTTCTATGGGAAAAGTAAAAAAAAAAAAAAAAAGAAAGAAAGAAAAGGGCAATCTCACCTCAGCCTCAGCTGCGCCCCGGAAACCTTCTTTGGCCTTGCCCAGAACTTCGAAGCGATTGGTTTTCTGGATCTTACTCATCTCCCCCTCAGCTCCCTCCTCGTCGTCCACGTCCAATTGAGCGCGTGGCCGGTAAATGCTGTTGATCGCGTCCTGCGCGGCAAACAACGGCTTGTCGTAGGGATTATCCTCATTGAACCCGGCGTGCATGCCACTTGTCTGGTTGAAGAGCCGGGAGTCCCACATGGACTCGGATGCCTGCGTGGGCTTGGCCAACCCGAGCGCGACCTTCTCCGAGATGTCACGGTTCTGCTCGCGGGCCATCATCTGGATTCGTCGTTCCGTGCCCATGCGAGACTGGCGCAGCTGTCGCTCAGCGTCCTGGCGACGCTCGCGACGTATGCGCTCGCGCTCCCGGGCCGCTTCCTCGTCCTCGACGGGCGTGGCAGACCGCGAGGAGTAAGCGGACGGACTGCGGCTAAGACTGCGCGAGCGTGACCGCGCACGAGAATCGCGACGGCTGCTTGCGGCTCGCTCCTCGCGGGCCTTCTGCGCCAGGGTGCGGAGGTGCTCCTCCTTCTGAGCCTTCTCCTTCTCTGCCAGCTTCTGCTGCATCTGTGCACGCAGTCGTACCTCCTCGCGGGCATGTCGGTCCGCGGTAAACAGGGCCTCGGCGAACTGGGCGAACTTGTCGTTGATCGTAACATCCTGTAGTCCCCGACCGTCCGCAGCTAGACGCTTGTCCAGCGGGACTGTGTAACCCTTGGGATTCTTCCAGTTCGACACGGGAGGTGGGATCCGCCAGGCCTCCTGGTCTTCTGCCGTCAGCTTTCGGGGTGGAGAATGCATAATGGGCGGGGG